ATTTTCCAGGTTTTCCAGGGCGTGAGGAAGACCCTTTTTTAAAATTATTTTCATAGACAGGTTGTCATTTCTTGTTGTTGGCAATCGAGGCATTCAGCGTATGTTGTGGTCTGAAATTGTTAGTGAAAATTAAATCCCACAAAACATCAAACGATTTCACGAGTACTACCAGCGCCGTGATATTATTACATGGAAAGAAATGCTTTTGTTTCAGCCGACCCGAGTGGCGTGTTGGTGTCTGTGTTTTGGATGATCCCAGAAGGGCCCCAGGCCGCCAGGTCCCAGGTTGTCGGCGTTGACGACACAATGTAAATAAAACCTTTGAAGGTTTGTTTAGCCTTAACATGTTATTGGGCAAGACCGTTACTAACCACACCAGGACATTTGCAGGTATGTTAGCAATTTTTGAGCAAGGCAAATTTAGTTTACCAAGCTTGCAAAACTGACATTAGCAGAGTACTTTTCCCTGGTGAATGTTTGTGCTTGATGCAAATATGGTTTAAAATCAAGCAATTTGATTGGCTTTTTGGAAACAAACCTACCAGGAGGGAGGAGTTAGTCCTGCTGAGGTGCTGCCTGATGGCATCATCTGTTGGCAGCAGGAGGGTGAAATCAATGCCACTCAGATCCCCTGTCAGATTGTACATCTATGAAAACACACACACACACACACACACATACACACACTAAAACATACTGAAAACTAACTACAAGATTGAGTTTAGACAGACAGACAGATATCATACCAGAGCATACTGTCTAAACAGACTGAAGTCGGAAGAGGAGTTCAGGAAGGCCATCAGGGTGGGGGGCTCGGGGGGAAGGTCTGAGCGGGGTGGGGCCAGAATCTGACCACAAAGCAAACATCAAACAAATAAACAGACAGAGTTTCAGTTGATATTTTTTTAGCAACCAAAAGCACTTTCTTTCATTCAGTTAAAAAATGTCTGCCTGCTCACCCCCACTTCAAGGATAAGGTTATCTGTCTGTTCAACATATCAGTTTGTTCTGTTAAAGGCCTTCAGAGGATGAACCCTTTATTAACCCCAGGATCTTTCCTCTCATGTAGAACGAACTAGCTCCATTACCGGTAAAGCTCTAAGTACAGCTAAATCATCAGTATGTTGTTTGCTCCCTTAGATATATATATTAATGGCTGTTAAGAGGCTGACTCTTACTTTGTCTATGACGTGGATGTAGCCATTGAGTGCAGGCTGGTTGTGGGTGAGGATGGAGGCGTTTCCAATGCGGATCACCTGGAACAAAATGAAAACAGTTTATTTAGGGTCTGAAAATACAAATGCAAATCGCAAATGTAGCTGATGTGTGAATATAGTGTAATGTCTGCAGGGGACTTATATGAGATCAGAGGTCAGAAAATAACTGTGATGCAATGCTGCATAGACATTTTCAATATTGTGTGTATGTATGTATTATTTATTAAATATAATGCAGCCTAATTTGTAGGTCTGTTTATTTTATTATTGGAGTAATTTAAGGTAAAGTTCAGCTTTCTCTTGCACTTATACACTTTCCTTTTGACAGGTAAGTGACTCAAAAGTTCACAAATACAGGCAGAAAGAGCAGAACCTTTCCTCATAGTAGGAATGTGTCTGAAAAAGTCAAATGTTCAGCAGTGGAAATCCACTTGTTTAGACGTATAGAAGCTACCAAGCCCGGGACGTTATCTCGCAGTTCAATATGATTACGTCAATTCGATACTTTTTTTTTAACACTAGACCATCACAGGGTCACAGGAAAACTTTTAAAATACACAGTAGACCTCACACACATCTCAGCACTGTGTTCATTCTGTGAAGAAAATTAAATGAAATGATTATTTTTAAAGTTTAGATTATTATTTTAGATCTAAACTTTGAAGACCTGAACACAAGTTATATTCACAAAGCCTTCACTCTCTGATAAACAGCCTCGTCAACAATGAAAAGAAAACACCGATTTTCTCAAAAAAAAAACAGAAGCCTATTAAGTCTGTATGATTGAATAAAGAATACTTAATACAGACAAATAATTGCATAAAAAGTTCCTAAAATATGACGAAAACTCATCTTTGACAGCATTCACAGGAAATAATCTGCTCAAAATTCATAGAAATCTCTCGTTTTACACAAACTTCCTGCAGTTATTGTGTTCATGATTTTGGTTAATTGTACAGTTTATCAGTTGTTCTTTACTGTTATTGTTATTTTTTGAATATAATATGAAATATGCATAACACTTGTGGTCATGTGGTCCGTTTACTGAATGATAAAAAAAGCATTTTTTATGCAGTTTTTAAGCAGTTTTATGTTGACCTTCTGAGAGGCTTTCCTTTCTGCTTGTTGTAAGATTGTGGCTCAAAGATTGACACCAACACCCTTAATACACCTGTGGTATTTGGCCCTGCTCTTCAGAGTGCAGAGAATTTTCCTCTTTTGGTAAATTCATCCAAATGTATAGTCAGTCGGTCTGTCACAGTTACCCCATTCTTACCCCGCTGTGGTTGCTGATCTCCCAGAAGGTGGGGGCGTTCATGGTGGGCAGCTTGCTACCCACCAGTTTGTCCAGATCTTCTATAGAGTAGATTCCCTGCAGGTAGTGGGCCCTGCAACCACGAAAAAGAAAAGGTCACCAAACTCTGGTTTCAAGCCTGAAGGGTCTGCGTTAAATCACATTAAATGCTCCAGAGGGGAACACTGTAGTAAAAGATTAACACCGTGAGAAATGTGTCAAAATGTTCAGTGAATACTGATTGCTCAGTTTCCTGGTGGATCCAGTTCCAAGTATAATTAAGTATCAGCTTTGTCAGAGAAAACAGCATCCTTCCTGAGCGGGTCAAAGAACAACGACAAAGGACAATGCTGACAATTCTTCTTATTGTCAACGAACCTCTTGGGAGACAGAAACCAACAATGTGCTCTGTAAGATTTTGACATAAATCTGTCAAAACGACTGACATATATATCACTTTTACAAAAAGACTTACTTATTTCCTAATAAGTCACTGTTGTTTTTTAGCAAATGGAGGAAATAGGGCATTTGTTAACAACAGTTGCAACAGTAACAATTTTAGGACAACACACAGCACACTGAGCTCACACTGTATGAAACGTGTTGAGTTACTGACCGCAGGAAGTAAGGCAGGTTGTGTCGGCTGGTCCAGAACGCGTCCTCGGCTGAACTAATGTTCCTCATAGCTTCCCTGGATGGAACCAACACTGTGAGGTTCCCACTCAGGTCCTGAGAGGAGTGACTGTATTTCTGACCACACACACACACACACACACACACACGTACAACTTATGTTATCTTTAGTGTTATTTGTTAAAACACTGAACAGCCACATTACTACAGCAGCTCCATCTTCTTTAAAAGGAGAAGTTCTAGGTTTCATTGGCAGTTACACTAAAGTAAAAACAGGATGTAGCATATAAATTAGTTTTAAAATAGAAAATTGTGTACCTATAGAGCACCTAGTCTGGTTTTTACACACCTGAGTCAGTCGGTAGAAATTGTACAGCTTTCGGTTCATGTCCAGCTCCTACAAACACACAAACACACAC